CTAGCTGACTGTCCGGCAGAGCTTTCCACCTCTGTGCAAAGCTGAGCTCCAGACTTCCACAGCCTCCCCGGGCCTGATTCTCCCACCACCTTCCCCACCGGGAGGCGTCCGTTCCACCTGCCCAGTTCCCAGGCCGAGACCGAGACCCGGAGTCCTCCCTGCCTCCTTTCTGTCCTTCGCATTATCAATTCAATCTTCAAGATAATCCAGAATCCAACTACTTCCTCTGCTCCAAGCCAGTGCCCTTTCTGGTCTAGATCGTTATCGCAACAAAGCAGCCAGAGGCATCCTGGACCGTCTGAGTCAGTCACCCCTGCTCGGTCCCTGGTCCCTCCGAGGGCCTCATGCTGGGTGGTAAGACCCTGCCCCAAGCAGCCCGCACTCCCTGGCCTCCTCTCTCTCTCTTCTCCCTTACGCTGCTGCCTGCTTACACGCTCTTCAGACATCCCAGCCTTGCTCTGTCAGAGCCCTTGACCCAGCCGTTTCCTCCCCCGGGCTGCGGTTACCCATGCACATCTGCAGGCTTCCCCCTTCACTTCCTTGGAGTCTTTGCTCAATGCTATCTCCCAGTGAAGTGTGCCCCCACCAGCCTATTTGAAAGCATGAAGCCCCCATCTCCACCCTCTCTCTTTCCTTATCCATTTCATTTTTCTTCATCACTCTTATACCGTCTGACATACTATATGTATTTTTTCTTTATCTTTTTTTTTTTTTTTTTTGTAAAGATTTTATTTGTTGGCTGGCGCTGCGGCTCACTTGGCTAATCCTTCACCTGTGGTGCTGGCACACTGGGTTCTAGTCCCGGTTGGGGGGTTGGGGCGCTGGATTCTGTCCCTGTTGCTCCTCTTCCAGTCTAGCTCTCTGCTGTGGCCCAGGAAGGCAGTGGAGGATGGCCCAGGTGCTTGGGACCCGCACCCCCATGGGAGCCCAGGAGGAGGCACCTGGCTCCTGGCTCCTGGCTTCGGATTGGCACAACGCACCAGCCGCAGCACACGGGCCGTAGCGACCATTTGTGGAGTGAACCAATGGAAAGGAAGACTTCTCTCTCTCTCTCTCTCTCTCTCTCTCTCTCACTGTCTAACTCTGCCTGTCAAAAAAAAAAAAAAAAAAAAAAAAAGGCCGCGGCTCAGTAGGCTAATCCTCCACCTAGTGGCGTCAGCACACCAGGTTCTAGTCCTGGTCGGGGTACCGGATTCTGTCCCGGTTGCCCCTCTTCCAGGCCAGCTCTCTGCTGTGGCCTGGGAGTGCAGTGGAGGATGGCCCAAGTGCTTGGGCCCTGCACCTGCATGGGAGACCAGGGGAAACACCTGGCTCCTGCCTTCGGATAGGCGTGGTGCGCCGGCTGCAGCGTGCCTGCCACGGTGGCCATTGGAGGGTGAACCAACAGCAAAGGAAGACGTTTCTCTCTGTCTTTCTCTCTCACTGTCCACTCTGCCTGTCAAAAAAAAAAAAAAAAAAAAAAGTAAAACAAAAAAAAATATTTTCTTTGTTTTATTTGAGAGGTAGAGTTACAGACAGTGAAAGGGAGAGAGAGAGAGAGAGAGGTCTTCCATCTGCTGGCTCACTCCCAAATTGGCTGCAACGGCCAAAGCTGTGCCGATCCAAAGCCAGGAGCCAGGAGCTTCTTCTAGGTCTCCCACACAGGTGCAGGGACCCAAGGACCTAGGCCATCTTCTACTGTTTTCCCAGGCCACAGCAGAGAGCTGGATCAGAAGTGGAGCAGCCGGGTCTCGAACTGGTACCCATACAGTATGCCAGCACCACAGGCAGTGGCTTTACCTGCCATGCGCTGGCCCCTTATTTTTCAATTAATTTATGAGAGAGAGGGAGGGAGAGCGCGCACTCCCATCTTTTATTGACTCCCCAAATGTCTGCAGTGACTAGCAGGGAAGGGGTGAAGCCAGGAGCCTCAAACTCAGTCCAGACCTCCCAGGTCGGTGGCAGGGACTCAACTACCTGAGCCATCGCTGCTGCCTCCCGGGGTGCAAGAAGCTGGAGTGAGGAGCCGGAGCCAGGAGTCTAATCAAAGCACCCACATGGACCAGCAGTGTCCTAACCTGTGGGCTGCATGCCTGCCTCGTGACACACTAGGTATTTTACTGCCTGTTTGCCCCCTAGTATGTAAGCTCCATGACAGCAGGAATCCCAGGCCATAAAGCACAATGGTTGAGAGGCCCTGCTCGGAGCCAGACTGCCTGGATTGCTGTAGCTACCACGACGAGTCTCTTCCAGTCACCATAGCTTGGTGTCTTCACCACTGACGGAATAATAGTAGAACGGATGTTGTAAGGTCATTGCAATGATTAAATGAATTCATATAAAGTATAATTATAATTATACATATAAATACATGTAAAGTGCTGAGAATTGCACGTTCATAAGTGTTCACTGCTATTATTATTGTCAAAGAATGCTGGGCGGGGCTGGCACTGTGGCGTAGTGGGTAAAGCCACTGCCTGCAGTGCCAGCATCCCAGATGGGTGCCAGTTAGAGTCCCGGCTGCTCCATTTCCAATCTAGCTCTCTGCTATGGCCTGGGAAAGCAGTAGATGGCCCATGTGTTTGGGCCCCTGCACCTATGTGGGAGATCTGGAAGAAGTTCCTGGCTCCTGGCTTCAGATAGGCATAGCTCCAGCCGTTGCAGCCAGATGGGGAGTGAACCAGCGGATGGAAGACCTGTCTCTTTTCTCTCTGCCTCTGCCTCTGCCTCTGTAACTCCGCCTTCCAAATAAATAAGTAAATCTTAAAAAAAAAAAAAAATTTGGATCCGGGTAGGCATTGTGGCACAGCAGTTCATATCAGAGTACCTGGTTTCAGTCCCAGCTATTCCGTGCTTGCAATCCAGCTCCCTGCTCACATGCATCCTAGGAGGTGATGGCTCAGGCATTTGGGTTCCTGTCACCTACACTGGGGACCCAGGTGGAGTTCCTAGCTTTGGCTTCAGTGTGGCCCAGGCTGACTGCTGTGGGCATTTGGGAAGTGAACCAGTGGACAGACATTCTCTTTCTTTTTTTCTTTTTTTTTTTTTTTTGACAGATAGAGTTAGACAGCAAGAGAGGGAGGGACAGGAAGGTCTTCCTTCCATTGGTTCACCCCCAAAATGGCCGCCACAGCCAGAGCTACGCTGATCCGAAGGCAGGAGCCAGGTACTTCCTCCCATGGGGTGCAGGGCCCAAGCACTTGGGCCATCCTCCACTGCATTCCAGGGTCACAGCAGAGAGCTGGACTGGAAGAGGAGCAACAGGGACTAGAACTCGGCGCCCATATGGAATGCCGGCGCCACAGGTGGAGGATTAACCAAGTGAGCCACGGCGCTGGCTCCTCTCACTATCTTTCTTTCTCTGTCACTCTGCCTTCCAAATAAATAAGTGAATCTTTAAAAAAAAAAAAAAAAAAAAAAAAAAAAAAAAAAAAAAAAACTAAAGGGGCCAGCGCTATGGCATAGCGGGTAAAGCTGCTGCCTCCAGTGCTGGTATCCCTTATGGGCACCGATTGGAATCCCAGCTGCTCCACTTCCAATCCAGCTCTCTGCTATGGCCTGGGAAAGCAGCAGAGGATGGCCCAAGTCCTTGGGTCCTTGCATCCACGTGGGAGACCTGGAAGAAGCTCCTGGCTTCAGATCGGCACAGCTCTAGCCATTACAGCCATCTGGGAAGTGAATCAGTGGATGGAAGAGATTTCTCTCTCTCTCTCTCTCTCTCTCTCTCTCTCTCCCTCTCTGTAACTCTGCTTCTCAAATAAATATTTAAAAAAAAATTAACAATAGTGTTGGGTTCCTGAGAAGTCCCATATACTAGTTTTCTGTTGTAGCTCACAACTGTGTCCCCAGAACTGAGAATAGTACTTACCATGTAAGAAGCCATTGAAGAAAGATTTGTTAGACAAATGAATAAGGATATGCACATTCACAAACAGCACATAAGGTTCCTGTGGATCTTTTTAAAGATTTATTCTATTTATTTGAAATGCAGAGTGACAGGGAGGGAGAAAAAAGATTTTTCTCTCTGCTTGTTCACTTCTCAAATGGCCAAAGCCAAGAGCCCAGAACTCCATCTAGGTCTCCCATGGGTGGCAAGGGTGCAAGTACGTGGGCCATCTTCTGCTGCCTTCCCAGGCATGTTAGTAGGGGGCTGGATGGGCAGAAGAACAGCTGGGACTCAAACTGGCGCTCTGATGTGGGCTGCTGGCAACTCAGGCAGCAGCTTTACCTGCTGTGCCCAATGCTGGCCCTATGTCTTTTAAATTTATATCAATGGCATCATAGCTCTATTTTTTCACTCAATATTTATATTTTTATATGGCTAGATCTCACTCTTTCCTTTTAACTGCTATATAATGAGTATTCTATCATTTTAATATATCACCACTTTTGTATCTGTCCCCTAGTGATAACCGATAAAGTTGTTCCAGTTTTCTGTTGTTGAGAACAAAGCTGTATCAGTGTACCCGTGTGAGAGTTCCTCTCCCTATATATTTGAAAGGGAAATTTCTTGCTGCGGGATTTGTATATTTACTGCCTTTCTAGGCTAAATTATTTTCCTAGAGTGCTTTTTTGCCTTCCCACCTGCAGGAATGAGAGAACTATTTCCCTCATTTTCTCCTCAAAACACCAGAGTCTGGCTGGGTCGTCTTCATGGACTCTGCTCACCCAATTCACAGAAAGCAAATCACTGTCATCGAGGCAGTGGAAGAAAGGTGTTTAGCCAGCGCCGCGGCTCAATAGGCTAATGGTTCAAGTCCTGGCGGTTCCACACCGGGTTCTAGTCCCAGTCGGGGTGCCGGATTCTGTCCCGATTGCCCCTCTTCCAGGCCAGCTCTCTGCTATGGCCCGGGAGTGCAGTAGAGGATGGCCCAAGTGCTTGGGCCCTGCACCCCATGGGCGCCATTGCAGCCATCTAGGGAGTGAACCAGCAGATGGAATTGGAGGGTGAACCAATGGCAAAAGAAAGACCTTTCTCTCTGTCTCTCTCTCTCACTGTCCACTCTGCCTGTCAGAAAAAAGAAAAAAAAAAAAAAAAAAAAAAAAAAAAAAAAGGAAAGAAAGGTGTTTATCGCAAAGCGCCGAGCAAGGAGCTGGGCAGCTGTCACTTAATCCCCGGGCTCCTTGAAGAGTCAGGGTGAAGTTTCTTATACGTTGCAATCGGGCTGGGAGGTCTGTGTTCAGCTGGTGTCTGAGTTCCTGGTTGGCCAGTGATGCTTGTGACCTTCCTTTGACTGTTTGGTGACTGTTACAGTGGCCAACTGGGCTCAGCAAGTCTAGGAGGTTCCATGGAAGTGGTAGTTACCTTCTGCACCAGACCTGGACTTGCCTTGCCTGAACCTAGAAATCTACTGAACAACCCATTCTGGACAGCACTGGAGAAGCAGATGACTTCTTGACTCTGGTGATTAGAACCTTGTTGGGGGGGGAGGGGGATGGCGCATAGTGGGTTAAGCCGCTGCCTGCAGTGCCGGCATCCCATATGGGTGTTTGTTCGAGACCTGGCTGCTCCACTTCCAATACAGCTCTCTGCTATGGCCTGGGAAAGCAGTGGAAGATGGCCCAAGTCCTTGGGCCCCTGCACCCACGTGGGAGACCCAGAGGAGGCTCCTGGCTCCTGGCTCCCAGCTGCGGTTGTTTGGCCATTTGAGGAGTGAACCAGCAGATGGAAGACCTCTCTCTCTCTCTCTCCCTCTGCTCTCTGTAACTCTGCTTTTCAAATAAATAAATCTTAAAAAAAAAAAAAAAAAAAAAAAAAAAAAAAGAATCTTGTTGGGCCAGCTACATCACCCCCTCAATTCTGTGAATTCTTTTTGATAAAGGACAGATAAGGAGACAGAGGAGACACTGGGTCCTGCCTTTAAATGATAGGAGTTCAGTCTTCACTTGACTAGGGTCAGGGTTTAGGGGAGGACTCCACAGCAGGGAAATGCCTTTCTCATCACATCATATCCCCCTTGTGGCTCATCACTGGTCATGCTAACTTTGATCACGTGTTAACTGATATTTCCAGGCTTCTCCACTATAAAGTTACTATGTTTCCCCTTTTCATACTCCAGCCATTGGAAGTCGTATCTAAATCATAAACCATTTAATTTGCATTTCCCTGATTATTAAGAAGCCAAACACCTTTTCGTGATATGGGCCATCCTGAGGGTGTTCCTCATGGGAGAATGACCTGTTCATGTTTCTTGCCTATATTTCAATTTGCTTGCTGGTCTTTAGTTCTTACTCAGTTCTAGATATTATTTATATATTAATTGCAATCCTCCCAATGAATCATTTAGTATTTTAATTTTTTTATATCTTCGGCTATGTACAAATTTTTTATTTCAGTTTACTCATCGTTGCATACTGTTTATGCTTTTTTTTTTTTTTTTTTTTTTTTTGACAGGCAGAGTGGACAGTGAGAGAGAGAGAGACAGAGACAAAGGTCTTCCTTTGCTGTTGGTTCACCCTCCAATGGCCGCTGCGGCCGGCGCACCACGCTGATCCAAAGCTGGGAGCCAGGTGCTTCCTCCTGGTCTCCCATGCGGGTGCAGGGCCCAAGCACTTGGGCCATCCTCCACTGCATTCCTGGGCCACAGCAGAGAGCTGGCCTGGCAGAGGGGCAACCGGGACAGAATCCGGCACCCCGACCAGGACTAGAATCCAGGGTGCCAGCGCCGCAGGTGGAGGATTAGCCTAGTGAGCCGCGGCGCCAGCCTTTTATGCTTTTTTAAAAATTTTGTTTGGAACATCCACATTCCATACCACAGTCCCTGGGTTTGCCTCTGACTCAGCTTTGTATTAATGTGACCCTGGGAGGTAGCAGGCGTAGCTCCAGCAGCTGGGTTCTTGCTATTCGCATGTTAGACCTAGACTGAGATCTGGACTCCCAGCTTCTGCCTGGCCCAGCCCTGGCTGTTGTGAGCATTTGGGGAGTGACCAGTGGATAGAAGATATTCTTTCTCTCTCTCCGCCTTTCAAATGAGTGAAAGTAAATAACTTTGTTAAAAGGGGAGTCAGGCATTTGGTATAGTACTTAACATCACTTGGGATGCCCAAATCCATATCAGAATGCCTGAGTCTGAGTCCTGGCTCTGCTCCCAATTCCAGTTTCCTAGTTTCCTGCTGATGTGAACCCGAAGAGGCAGCAGATGATGGCGCAGTGACTTGGGTCCCTGCCACACACGTCGGAGACCTGAACTGAGTCCTGGCTCCAGTTTCATCTCGGTCTGCCCGAGTGCTGCAGACATTTGGGGAGTGAACCAGTGAGTGCAGGATCTCTGTCTCCATCTCTCTCTTTGTCTCTCTGCCTTTCAAATAAATAAAATAGAATTTTAAATTATTTCTTTCTTTATTTTTTTTTTTTGACAGGCAGAGTGGACAGTGAGAGAGAGAGACAGAGACAAAGGTCTTCCTTTGCCGTTGGTTCACCCTCCAATGGCCGCCGTGGCGGGCATGCTGCAGCCGGCGCACCGCGCTGATCCGATGGCAGGAGCCAGGAGCCAGGTGCTTTTCCTGGTCTCCCATGGGGTGCAGGGCCCAAGGACTTGGGCCATCCTCCACTGCACTCCCTGGCCACAGCAGAGAGCTGGCCTGGAAGAGGGGCAACCGGGACAGAATCCAGTGCCCCGACCGGGACTAGAACCCGGGGTGCCGGCGCCGCAAGGTGGAGGATTAGCCTAGTGAGCTGCGGCGCCGGCTTAAATTATTTCTTTATTTGGGAGGCAGAGAGACAGCTTTGATCTGCTGTTTTACTTCCCGAATGTCTGTCGAGACAGAGGTGGGGGTGGGAGGCAAAGATGGCAAATATGGGAGTCAGGAACCCGATTACTTGATCCATCACTGCTACCTCCCAGGGTCTGGGCCACAGGAAGCCAGGGGCAGGAGTGGGAGGCACGGTGACATGGATTGGGAGGCATTCGGATGTCTTGACCACCAGGTGAGACACCTGTTCCTCTTCGTTCTTTTGGAACCACCTTTTGCACACTCAGCCATGACTCAGCAGTCCCGTCATGACCACAAGTTCTCCTGGCTTCGCTTACATAGCCTTTGCCTGCAATGCTTTCTTCCAGACAAACTCCTTCTTAATTTTACTGCCATGAACCAAAGGAAACCTCCTCTGGGAAGCCCTCCCGGGGCCCCCAGGTGGAATTAATTGATTGCTCTTTCCATAGTGTTCACACAACTTTCCCAAATCTTTATTAAAGCACATAGCATGCTCTATTGTATTGCCCTGCGTGTGTTCGTGTGTGTGCGCGCACCACCCACCATACTGCAGAGAGACCCCAGCTACTGTGTGTTCACCAGAACATCAAGCATAATGCAGCCAATGTTTATTGAGTGAATGAATGAACGTAGTCTGAATCAGTGGGTTTACAAACCTTTCCCCCGTGCCTTTAATGATTTTTAAGAAAAACTCTGCATCTTTCCATCCTCCATGTCTGTGAGAAGCCCAAGAGGAAGCAAGTGGCACACTTGACGGAAGACAACTTAAGGAGATTATGTACATAAGGGACTAATTTCGTATGTGGTCAGGAAGGCTGTAGGGAAATCACAAAGATCCTCCAGGAAGCTGGGACTATCAGCAGCCAGGCTGCTACCACCCCAAGCCTCCAGGGACAAGCCCTCAGCCTTACGAGGGACAGGAATTTGTTGTGAGCCTGACCAGATCTCACAGGGCAGGAACCGGAGGACTAGATGATGACCTCACTCTCTTCACTCCCTTCCGCCTCCTGCCAGGATCCCCATCAGCTAAATTCATATCCAAAAATGGAGGGCACAGGAGACATGGGTGGACCAGGGATACATGCACATTTTTTCTAGAACATTTGTAAGTTGACAACTGAAATGTTTGTCTTGATTCTATCATTGACAAGGGTATACTTCTACCATATTATAAATATTAATATTTTCAATAAAACTATGGGGCCACTCAACTGAAAGTAAGTACTAGAGTGATTTGACATACATTATAATTCATTTAAAGAAAATACCAGGAGGCCGGCACTGTGGTGCAGCGAGTTAACACCCTGGCCTGAAGTGCTGGCATCCCATATGGGCGCTGGTTCGAGACCCGGCTGCTCCACTTCTGATCCAGCTCTCTGCTGTGGCCTGGGATTGCAGTGGAAGATGGCCCAAGTCCTTGGGCCCTGCACCCACGTGGGAGACCCAGGAGAAGCTCCTGGCTCCTGGCTTTGGATCAGTGCAGCTCCGGCAGTTGCAGCCAACTGGGGAGTGAACCATTGGATGGAGGACCGCTCTCTCTCTCTCTCTCTCTCTGCCTCTCCTCTCTCTGTGTAACTCTTTCAAATAAATAAATAAATCTTAAAAAAAAAATAAAGAAAATACCAGAACAAACCCTACTGACTCTGGCAGAAATGCTTATGTGGGCAAGGATGTATTAATTTTTTTCCAAATTCTTGTTTCACACAAAGACAAGCATTTTAAGTACAGACACATATAAGGGACACAGAGCAATAAAGTTAATTCAAAGGGGCCAGCGCTGTGATGCAGTGGGTTAAGCCTCTGCCTGTGGCACCAGCATCCCATATGGGCACCAGTTTGTGTCCTGGCTGCTCCACTTCCTATCCAGATCACTGTTAACATGCCTGGGGAAGCAGCAGAAGATGGCCTGTTTGGGCCCCTCACTCACCTGAGAGACCCAGAAGAAGCTCCTGGCTCCTGGCTTCAGATCAGCCCAGCCTCAGCTGTTGTGGCCATTTGGGGAGTGAACCAGCAGGTGGAAGACCTCTCTCTCTGTAACTGTGCCAGCTCTTCCACATGGGGGCAGGGCCCCAAGCACTTGTGCCATCCTCCACTGCTTTCCCAGGCACATTAGCAAGGAGCTGGATCAGAAGTGGAGCAACCAGGGCTTGAACTGGTGCCCATATGAGATGCTGACATCACAGGCGATGACTTAACCCACTACACCACAATGCTGCTCCCAGTGATCCATCTTCTGTATCTGCTTCCTGTTGATTAGGGTCACGGGCCCTGCACATCCTGGATACGTATCTCATGTAATGGACACATCCCCTAAGACAGAAGATTTTCAACAGTTACCGACGATGGTTGTGGTCCTTGCGTGGTCACCATTCCTCCGAGAAGCTCTTGGACTCTGAAAGAAACAAACCTGTCAATCAGATGAGTAACTGGAAAAGGACAAATCGTAGGCGGGATCCCTCTTAGGAAAGGAAGAATATGTTCTTTTTTTATTTTTAAGATTTATTTATTTATTTGAAAGGCAGAGTTACAGAGAGGCAGAGACAGAGAAAGAGAGAGGCCTTCTCTCCGCTGGTTCACGCCCCAAATGGCCGCAACAGCTGGAGCTGCGCCTTTCCAAAGCCAGGTGTCAGGAGCTTCTTCTGGGTCTTCCACATGGATGCCGGGGCCCAAGGACCTGGGCCACCCTCTGCTGCTTTCCCAGGACATAGCAGAGAGCTGGATGGGAAGTGGAGCAGCCAGGACTCGAATTCATGCCCATATGGGTTGCTGGCACTGCAGGCGGCAGCTTTACCTGCCACGCCACAGCACTGGCCCCAAAAATATGTTGTTTTATTTCCCGAACAGTGGGAGCTGATAGACTTTCCCTGACTAGATTATAAAACCATTTAGCCTAGATATAAAGCTTTGCAGTGTCTCTTTCAGTGAACATACTGCTGTTAGGGGGGATTTCATTAATTTCATTAATTACTGCACATTCTCTACTTGTTCCACAAGTAGAGAAGTAGACCTCTCACATGGGTGCAGGGGCCCAAGGACTTGGGCCATCTTCTACTGCTTTCCCAGGCCATAGCAGAGAGCTGGATCAAAAGTGGAGCAGCCAAGACTTCAATCGGCACCCTTATGGGATGCCAGCACTGCAGGTAGAGGCTTTACCTGCTACACCACAACACCGGCCCCAACTTGGGTTATTTTATAAACACAGGGGACAGGACCGAGTTACTTCCCTTATGACAATATTTAGTCCTTTTCCTCCAAATGCTGAAGCTCCTCTTTCCATATGGGTAGAGTCAGGTTTTTCCTTAATAATTTTCCCCCTTAGAGGCCATTGGGAGCATGACCCCATGATTTAAAATCCACCACCCATTGGCATTTTTAGCATAACCTCGTTACTGAGACCATTTTGTCTTGGGCTCAGTATAGTAAGGATTTTTAGTAATGTCTACAGGTCAAGGTATCAAAAGCTATTTCTAAAATCCTCCCTGCAATGGATCCTTTTCGGCTAGTGCATTTCCTTTGCTGACATGGCTGTCTTCCTTCTGGTGAGCCCTGCAGTATTCGACAGCCACTTCCAGAGGTTCCAGCACTGTCTGAAGAAGATGTGCTATCTCTCCCATGTTTAGCAGGTGCGTTATTTGCAGTCAGTAAGCCTCATTCTCTCCAAACTGCTGCGTGTGCGTGTAACACAAGGGAAGCGTATGTGGACTGTGTGTAAATAGTAGCTCTTTGGCCTTTTCCTAGTCAAGGCAGTAAGCTGAGCCTTTTGAGCTGAGGTGTTGGATGGCAATGGCTGGACTTCTCCTGCCTGAGTGTGATCCACTGTGGCATAACCTGCCTTTCTAACTCTTTTCTCCATAAACTATTGCTATCAGTAAACCATTTGACGTCTGGATCTTCCAGAGGCTCATCTCATAGCCAGTCCTGCTATAATACACCTGCCCTATTGTATCCACACAATGGTGAGTTAACTCATCAGTACCTTCAGATGGCAAGGGAGTAGCTGGATTGAGGACTTGGCATGCCTTGAGAGTTACTTCAGGTGAGGCTAACAAAAGACGCTGATATTTTGTAAGTCATTCTCCTGTTAGACTTTGATACCCTTTAATTTCCAGAACTCCTTGCACCTGGTGTGGAGTTTGAATTTCAAGTGACTGGCTTAAAGCCAGCTTGGTGGTTTCCTCCACAAAAGCACTGTAGCAGTGACTGCCCTTAAGCATACAGACTATCCTGCAGCCACTAAGTCTTGTTGCTTAAAAATGTGGGCCACTAGGATCAGTGTTGTGAGTAATGGGTGAAGCTGCTGCCCGCAGCACCAGCATCCCATATGGGCGCCCGTTTGAGCCTTGGCTGCTCCACTTTCCATCCAGCTTCCTGCTAATGCTCCTGGGAATGCAGCAGAAGATGGCTCAAGTCCTGCAGCCCTTGAGTCCATGTGGGAGACCCGGATGAAGCTCTTGGCTCCTGGCTTTGGCCTGGCACAGCCCCAGATGTTGCAGCCATTTGGGGAGTGAACCAGCATGTAGAAGACCTCTCTCTCTCTCTCTCTGTATCTCCCTCTCTCTGTGTGTAACTCTGCCTTTCAAATAAATAAAATAAATCTTAAAAAAAAAATAGAAAAGAAAAGCAGGCCACTGGTCATGAAAGTGGACCCAATTTCTTAGTACTACTCTCTGCTTCTCTGCTACAAACAGAGTGAGTGAACTGGTTGTTCAAGTTGAGATTCCTAGTTCCAGAGCTTCTGTTAATAGCTCTTTAATCTTTTGCAAAGCTTCCTGATGCTCTCCTGTCCAGCGAAGTGGGTCTGTGTTAGGACCCTTTAAAGCCTCATGTAAGGTTTGCCTATTAACCGCAATCCTGGAATCTTTAGTCTATAAACCTTCCATTCCCAGAAATATCCTTAGCTGTTTCTTTGTCCTGTGGAGCTCTGTACATAATATAGCTTTCTTTCTCTTGAGTGACAGAGCATGATGTCCTAAGGTCAGAACACATCCTAAATAGTTTACCTCTTGTTTAGAAATCTGGGGAAACTCTGTGTCCCTAAAAAGTTTAAGACCTGGCTGGTATTTACATTGGAGTCCTCCTTTTTTTTTTGGGGGGGGGGGGCTGCAAATAAAAATGCCATCTACATTTTACAGAATTGCTCCAGTCTTTAATTGGAGCTCTCTGAGTCCCTTTGCAAGAACATTTCCAAACATATGAGGACGATCTCTGGAGTCTTGAGGGAGAACTGCCCAAGTGTGCTGTGGAGTTACAGCTGAGGATGGATCAGTCCATTCAGAGGCAAACAAGTGCTGGGATTCTGGGTTTAACAGGATGAAGAACAGAGCATCTTTCAGGTCTTTTACTGTGTACCACGAGGTGCATACAGGTATCTGCGTTAATATGGTGTAAGGATTTGGCACAAAAGGATGAAGAGGAATGATTGCCTCATTACTAAGTCCTGTGCTATTCTATATTCCCCATTCGGCTTTAAAACAGGCAAAACTGGAGTATCACAGGGAGAAGGACAGGCAACCAGGACTCCGTGTTTGAGAAACTGATCGGTCCAGGGTTGAAGTCCCCATCAGCCTCTGGTTTTACGCAACAGTGGCACTGCTGAGGAAATCTGGTATGTCCTCTACGAGGACTGTGACACTGTGACAGCTCAGGCATGTGTGGCCCATCATGGTATCCCCCATCCCAGAGCTGAGGATCTACTCTATCTTTTATTCCAGTAGGAAAATCATCCAGGCTGGGGTCTGCCTCAGTGACTGTTAGCATCACAGCAACAACTTCAATGTAGGAGCAATTAACATGAGGGAAGAACCAGGGATGATAGCAAACCTCTTCCGAGCCAAGGAGTTGGGCATTCAGACATCACCAAAAGCATCCTCTGTTTGAGCCACCAAAGGCAAAGTAAGCCTTTGAGAGTGAGGTTTGTCATCGACTCCCATAACACAGTTCTGGAAGATGGGGTCATCACAGAGTAAGCGGCTCCAGCATGAATCAGGAAACGAGCACACTTCGCGCCTGCAATGTCATAGTCACCTGGAACTCCGCACGTGAGATGCTTGCTTCCTTAGGAGCCGCCTGAGTCCCCAGGCCCCTTTGGTCTTCAGACAGATCCATGAGTCCCTTCCTGTCTCCGGAGGAGGACACAGTCCCTCTTCCAGTGACCACTTTTCTTGCCTTGGGGGCACAGACCTGGGATCCCTTGCAGAGGAACCCTCCTTATGCCATCGCCTGGCACATCCTCCTGCGATGGCGGAATGCCCTGGACTGACTCTGAGGTTGCCAAGTGCTGATTGCGGCCATCGTTGTCCTGTAGGTCTGCTGCCTGGCCTGCCTCCCATGCTGGAGTATGTATGCTTTGCTCCTCAGCCCTGTCTCTATTGTTAAACACTGAAAATGCTTTTCTACCATTTGACTCATGGGGGCTTGGGGGTTCCATGGCTAGATTTTTTTTTTAAAGATCTGTTTATTTATTTGCAAGGCAATGAGAGAGAGAAAGAGAGAGAGAGAGCTTCCATCCGCTGGTTTACTCCCCAAATAGCCACAATGCCTGGAGCTGTGCCAATCTGAAGCTAAGAGCCAGGAACCTCTTCCAGTCTCCCAGGTGGGTGCAGGCACACAAGCACTTGGGTCATCTTCCCCTGCGTCCCCACATTGGCAGTGCGCTAGATAGGGAGTGGAGCATCCAGGACTCAAACCAGCAGCTTCACCCACTACATCACAGCACTGGCCCTGCATGGCCAGCACTTGAGGCTTTCTTCTAACATCTGGCACTGACTGAGGAAATGAGTATCACATAGGACCTTCCTTCAGGAGAGTCAGGATCTATATTTCAGATCTCTTCAATGCCTCTACCAGCCATCCCTGGGACAAGACTGGGTTGTCATCCTTCTGTGTTACCTCTCTGATTTTATAATTTATGGATCTGATAATACATTTCCTCATCCCAGACAGAAGGTGTGAAGCCATGCGGTCTCGATGCTGTAAGTGCTCATGTCCTTCCTGATAATTCCAATCAGGGTCAGCTGCTGGGTCTGCTAATGCCCCTGTAACTAGTACCCAGGCTGTTGAATAACCAGAGAATCCACATGGGTTTGAGCCTTAGTGCAAACACATTGTTTCTTTTCAGTGGTGCAACAAGTAGACAAAAATAACATGTAAGTTGGTTTGAGTTAAGACTAAAAGACTAAAGTGAAGGCCTAAAACTTCTCAGTGAATCGAGTAGGGTCCTTTGAAAACCATCCTAGCTTTTGCTTACATTGGCTTAAGTCAAACTTGGTGAGAGGGACAAGCACTCTAACTGTCCCTACATCTCCATGTGCCACTTCTCTCAGAGAACAGAGCATACCCACTTTGGGCTGATGGGGACCTGCTGCAAGTAACTCTGGTTGGGCTGTTCTCTGGTAAGGAAGACAGGAAGGGTTGAAAGGTGGAGGTCGTGGGGTGATAGAAGGTAAGGAAGAGTCAGGTTTTAGGGGTGCAGGGGAGGGCCTAGTGCCCTCTGAGGGTGGTCTTAGCATGTAGACTTGCTCAGCCTGGAATGGCTAAGGACCAGCTAGTAGTGGACCAGTCACTATTATCTATCAATTCTTCCCTTGTCTTTGAGAGAGCAGGTACAGAATGTAGCCCGGTACTCCTTTCATGAATCAAGTGTGATATAATGCCGTGAGTACACAAGAAACTTCTAGCCATTTTTGCTGATCCCTACAGAAGAGGCCAAGTCGTGAGATGGTATTAGAGTTCAGAGTCCCATCTATGAGCCAGGCCTCTTCATTGCCCAGCTTGTATTTTGGCCAGATGGTAATACAGGGGAAAATTAATTTTTTATTTAGCTTAAGAGTCTCCCAGTTACTGAGCATGCATCCTAGGGGTGTATCAGCGGGAATGGATGCGGGGTCGTCCACAGCTGAAAGTCTGGGAAGACAGAAGTTAGAAAGGGCTCAGGATGAGCCCAGTTAGGCTTCAGCGTGTGACTCGAATCCCTCGCATGAGAGCTGGCATCCAAGACCTCCTTGTGCATCCCAAGCTGGGGTTCCCTGCTTCAGGGCTTCCTACAGGTTGACTGTAGATCTAGGGTGTTCTCCCAAGCCTGAAACCACCGCCCAGCCCCCCAAATACTTCGGTAGGCCTTTTTGCCACCACACATAGGGTATCTGGCCTCTAGCGGGCTCTAACGCTCCAATAAACCAGAGAAGGCATTTGACCCAGGCCCGAGATGCATTATTCAGGGCCTTTACTTGAGCCTGAAATATTTTGTGGGGGAGCCAGAACTGCAGCTGCACCTGGGACTTGTAACCTCTCGGAGGCATTGACATCAGGGTGAGTCCAGCGTTGAGTTGAAAGAAAGAAAAAAAAAAAAAGCTGAAAAGCTGTAGCATTTGCCAATAAGGCAGTTACTGTGGGCCCATGCCATGATGGGGGTAGGGAGGACTGTCCATCTTCCACCAGCCAAATGTAGAACCTCCACCATACCTGGAGGTACCACCTCCTGATGCCAGACATGGTAACCAAGCAACAGAATCAATTTTTTCCTCCTCCCCCTACCATCAGGCAAAGGAGTGGAGTTAACAAGCCGTGCACCAATTTAGAAAAATAGAGACCTGAGTTAGAACCTGAAATGAAATCTGGGTCTGGCACCTGGAGATTGTCCATGGTGGCTCCATGCTAAGAGCTGACCTATCCTGCAGTGGACACTAACTTCAGAAGCACAGTGTGGGGGCCGGTACTGTGACGTAGCAGGTAAAGCCACCGCCTGCAGTGCCGGCCCCCATATGGGATGAGTTCCGGCTGCTCCACTTCCCATCCAGCTCTCTGCTATGGCCTGCAGAAGCAGAACAAGATGGCCCAGATGCTTGGGTTTCTGTACTCATGAGAGAGACCCAGAGGAAGCTCCTGGCTGCTGACTTCAGTTTGGCCCAGCTCCAGCTGTAGAGGCCATTTGGGGAGTGGACCAGAGGATGGAAGACCTCTCTCTCTCTCTCTCTCTCTCTCTCTCATCCTTTCTGTGACTCTGCCTTTCAAACGCAGCCAACCTGTGGGCACTTGTATCAGTGGGTGGTCGCGAGCCCTGCGTGCTCTCTCCTATATGTCTGGATTCCCTCAGTGTTAAGTCTGTAGCTGCTGCTCTGCAGCCAATAGCATTAAAAACAAAAGCACCAAGATTTGCACTTTCAAAAGTTTGCCCCAGGCCGGCGCTGCGGGTCACTAGGCTAATCCTCCGCCTTGCGGCGCCGGCACACCAGGTTCTAGTCCCGGTCGGGGCGCCGGATTCTGTCCCGGTTGCCCCTCTTCCAGGCCAGCTCTCTGCTGTGGCCCGGGAGTGCAGTGGAGGATGGCCCGAGTACTTGGGCCCTGCACCCCATGGGAGAACAGGATAAGTACCTGGCTCCTGCCATCAGATCTGCGCGGTGCACTGGCTGCAGCGTGCCAGCCGTGGTGGCCATTGGAGGGTGAACCAATGGCAAAGGAAGACCTTTCTCTCTGTCTCTCTCTCTCACTGTCCACTCTGCCTGTCAAAAAAAAAAAAAGAGTAAGCTAGAGACCAGCGCCGCAGCTCACTAGGCTAATCCTCCACCTGTGGCGCCAGCACACTGGGTTCTAGTCCCGGTTGGGGCGCTGGATTCTGTCCCAGTTGCCCCTCTTCCAGGCTAGCTCTCTGCTGTGGCCCAGGAGTGCAGTGGAGGATGGCCCAAGTGCTTGGGCCCTGCACCTGCATAGGAGACCAGGAGAAGCACCTGGCTCCTGGCTTTGGATCAGCGCAGTGCGCTGGCCGCAGCGGCCATTGGAGGGTGAACCAATGGAAAAAGGAAGACCTTTCTCTCTGTCTCTCTCTGTCTCACTGTCTAACTCTGCCTGTCAAAAAAAAAAAAAAAAAAAAAAAAAAAAGAAGAAGGCTATATTCAGTATCAGTGTTATAGATAGCATCACTAAGAAACATGTTTACATACAGAAGGAGATGAGAATGGATAGAATTTTGTTAGAGTAATGGCAATTATTTTAATTCCTTATGTAATTGAGCCCCATCCCTGTAGCCTTTGATGTAGATTTTATCTGGCTCCTTCATCTCCTTAGCTTGCAATTCCTCTAAAGATGAACTTATTAAGTTAAGGGAGTGACACAGCCTCCCTTATGGTTAACATAGTTAAAAGTTCAATGCTGGCCTCTATCCTGAGACCTTTTACAAGAACTCACCAGCAGGTACCAGACTGTAGGACTTGACTTTCATTTATTAACTCTATGGCTGGTATTACCTCTATGGCTGGTATTGGGATGCTGACCCCTAGCACTGACCAAAGGAAGACCACACACACTGTGGACCAAGCAGGGCCCACACAAGAGCTGATCACTCACTGCTCAGCCCCAACTTTGAACTATAAGACGCAGCGCCTCCACTCCCTCAGGGAATTGGGCATTAACTGTTCCTTGTTCTGTGCTGTGCCCGCTTTTACTCATCGCTCTGCTATCAGTGATAGATTTGCTGCACTCCAGTTTGGGGTTCTATAGCAACTCCTTGTATTTCCAGAGACGGCTGCTCGGAGGTTCTTGTCTTCATGCAAGAAAGAGTTCAGACGTGAGACAGCAGGAGTAAGTATGATAGCTAGATTTAAAGAGGTGCGCCTGACAGACCAGCTGGGCATCTCAGTTTAAAAAAAAAAAAAAAAAACACCTGAGAGGCTGGTCCACCTTGGATGGGAGTTTTTATGGACACGGATATGGGCTCTTTGTTTAACCATCCTCTGAACTACAGCCTCTCCCTTTAGTAGTCTCTGTTTAATCAGGGACTCTTTCCCCAAACTTTCTATTCTACTCTGGCCAGCTCTTTTCTCCTCCCTGGTTCTGACTCTGATGTGATTTGACACTGGCCTGAGTCGGTCACTTCCCGTAACGTTTTGGCGGCCTGTACAGGGACTTCTCCTGAGATCACAGGGAGCCAACCTCCAGCGTGAATCCACACGTCCTGTCGGCCCCTGACCACAGCCATTCCTTTCTTCTCCTTGGTCTCTGGTCCCTGCGTTGTGAGAGCACAGGGAGCTGGGGGGAGCTGGGCTCCAACAGCTCCTTGCCAACCTATCAAACAGCAGCAGGCTGGTGAGTGACAGCTCCTGCCCACCCGCAGGGGTTAGTGATTGGCAGCTCCAGGCGATTTGCCTTTTGAGAGCTGTGGCCAACCTCCCAGGGTAGAATTATAGGCAGCCCCTATATGGCCTGGCCACCATAACAAGTCCCCTCCCCTCTGTGCACCATCCAAACTGCCTTCCCTTTCTATGCACAACCCAGGCCCACCTCCTACTCACCACCAAAGCCTGCAGTCCTTCCTGAGTAGCAGAAACCACAAGTTTCCCAGTGCTGGGAATTTGGACAGTGCTAGCTGGAAATATTCCAACATGGCTATAGGATGCATTTCCCCTCGATGTCTTTGAGGTCATTATAATGAAATTACCTTGGAGGCCACGCCCACTCCCATCATACACCTGAGGCCATGCTCTTTTGAATATTCGGTTGGGCTCCACCCGCCCAACCTCTGCAGGGTATAGGGAAGGCCTAACCTTGCTGAGGGGCCTTTTCATGGTTGGATCTTTTTCCTTGGAGAGGGGTTTTCCTTTACTGGGGACCCTTTTACGTGTTTGGCTGTACATGTGCATATGACGTGGTTCTTGAGTTTTATTTGGATCTTTTGTTTCACCCTGAATAAATCCTGCTCTCCTGTACATCTTTATGCTTCCACCCTTGAATTCCTTCACAAGTGGAGGGACTCCAGGGGCTCAGGGGAAAAAAAAAAAAAAAAAAAGCAAAGAAAAAACACAGTGTAACTCCCCAGGAGCTCTGTGGGGGAGGAGGAGGGGGAGAAATACTTACAATGTAATATTCAGATGTTGTGGGGTCTGCAGAATGAGCTGACCTCACCCAGGACTCCGCACATCTCTGCACAAACACAGGCTATTCCAATGTTGGTTCCCTGATTGACTCATGTGGCATGTCTCTTAGCATACACTTCAACAAAGCTGGAGAACTTCCTGCTTTAGAAACACATAAAAGTCCGAGCCAGGCAGCCTTGAAAAGCCGTTCAGGGCAGGCAGCCCTGTTGAGGTGGCTGGAGGCAGACCCTCCCGCTGTTGGGGGGCTTCCCCCGCCTCCTTTGCCTTCCCCATCCATGCGCCTCATTCATTGTGGTCACAAGACAAAAGAACCAGCCGAGAAAGGAAGCTGTCACCCAGAAGGCAGCAGTGTTAGCAGAAATAGGGGGAATAGGCTCTGGTGTGCACACAAGAAAGAATTCCAGCGTGAGACAGAGGGCAGCGGGAAGCAAGGTAACAAGGTTTAATGGGGGCAGGGCATCCGTCAGAACGGATGGGCACCTCTCCAGACAGAAGCTCCCAGCCATTCAGACTGGGGAAAGCAAGGTTACGTGGTTTAATGGAGAGGATGCACCTTGCAGGCCAGGCGGGCGGCTCAGCAGAGAGCTGAGAGCTGGGTGCAGTCTGTATTCAGCCGGGGGTTATAAGGGAATCGGGTCCAGTTCTCCTTGCCATTCCTCTTTCCCTTCCTTCCTCTTCTTCCAGACAAAGGGTTTGCTGAGTGTGAATTATTGGAAGTTCCTGCCCTGGTTCCCTACAGAGTGTCATCAGAATGGGGAGCCCACCTGGCAGCAGGCAGAGGAGCTGCCCCTAGGGTGCCTTGCTTGGGGGAAGGCTGTGAAGGTTTTCTTGCCCAGTGTTATCTCACAGGGTAGCCCATGTGGTGCTGAGCAGAGAAGATTCTCCCAGGGAGCTTTCCTGGGGGTGGGGTGGGGAAGGCTGAGGCCACCTGGACAGTTACCAGGGTCAGGGCAGGGCTTGGTCGTGTAAAATACTGGGCAGTTTCCAAGGCTTCCCTTTCAGATGCTGAACACACACACACACACACACACACACACACTTCCTGCCTAACAGCAGCACTTGATGAGCCAGCAAAGAGAAGCGGTGACCCTGCAGAGGGGAGCGAGCTGCCGAGCTGCAGCACAGAGAGCTGTGACGGCCACCAGAGCTGTGCTGTCCCTGAGGGCCAGGACAGGCTGCAGACGCCAGCGAAGAGAGCTGCAGACCGCACCCCACCCCGCCCCCGCCGTGGCTCTGTAACACCCATACCTGCTTGCTTGAGACAGGGGAAGAACCATGAGGGAGCTTAGCAGGGAGCCCCACAGCCCTGACTCGCCGGGAAAGGGTTGTCCATCCGGGGACACCTGATGATTGGTGGCCAGGGAACCCAAAGGCCCCTGTTCACAAATGCCCAATACTGGTTGCCCTTGGGGGTGAGGACTATACTTATCTCACCTTAATGGGCCCCCTTTGTCCTTCACAAACACCAAAAGCCTACTGTCTGCCCTTTCTCAACTGACCACCCATAGGGAACCATGCTGGGCTAAGACTTTAGGGGTGAGGACAGCTCCTGGCCCCTTTCTCCTGGGCCTGGACCAGCTGCCCAGCATCAGGGCCCCTCCCTCTTCAGGAGGACGCATCATGGCCTTTTCTTAGCTAAAGCAGCACCAAAGGCACCCTCTGGCAGGCAGGACACCCACTGAAGCGGACACCCATTCAGACTGAGTCTCCGCCTTCTGCTAGGGCACCCCAGGAAGGCTCTGCATTGGTCACCCCTCAGGCCATTTCTTGCCCCTCAGTTGGGCTGTTTCTTTTTTTTTTTTTTTTTTTTTTTTTTTTTTTCTTTTTTGACAGGCAGAGTGGAGAGTGAGAAAAAAAGAGACAGAGAGAAAGGTCTTACTTTGCTGTTGGTTCACCCTCCAATGGCCGCCGCAGCCGGCACACCGCGCTGATCCGAAGCCAGGAGCCAGGTACTTATCCTGGTCTCCCACGGGGTGCAGGGCCCAAGCACTTGGGCCATCCTCCACTGCACTCCCTGGCCACAGCAGAGAGCTGGACTGGAAGAGGGGCAACCGGGACAGAATCCAGCACCCCAACCGGGACTAGAACCCAGTGTGCCGGCGCCGCAAGGCAGAGGACCAGCCTAGTGAGCTGCGGCACCGGCCGGAAAGCCGAATCTTAAAAGAGTTGATTGTTATCTTGAAAAAGAACCCAGGCCGGCGCCGCGGCTCACTAGGCTAATCCTCCGCCTAGCGGCGCCGGCACACCGGGTTCTAGAACCCGGTGGGGGCGCCGGATTCTGTCCCGGTTGCCCCTCTTCTAGGCCAGCCCTCTGCTGTGGCCAGGGAGTGCAGTGGAGGATGGCCCAGGTGCTTGGGCCCTGCACCCCATGGGAGACCAGGAAAAGCACCTGGCTCCTGGCTCCTGCCATCGGATCAGCGCGGTGCGCCGGCCGCAGCGCGCCGGCCGCGGCGGCCATTGGAGGGTGAACCAACGGCAAAAGGAAGACCTTTCTCTCTGTCTCTCTCTCTCACTGTCCACTCTGCCTGTCAAAAATAAAAAAAAAAAAAAAAAAAAAAAAAAGAAAGAAAAAGAAAAAGAACCCAAAGGATTTTTAAAGATGTTTGAGGCTGTGTTTCTCATCACAGGCCCAGAAGCCAAAAAGGACAGAAGTTTCATAAAACTCTGCAGGTGCTCTCGAGAATGCTGTACCTGGGTTTCCTTGTCAGTTGCTGAGTAATTTTTTTTTTAAGATTTATTTTATTTATTTGAAAGGCAGAGTTACACACACACCCAAAGAAAAAGAAAGAGAGAGAGAGAGAGATCTTCCATCTGCTGGATCACTGCCCAAATGGCTGCAACAGCCAATGCTGGACCAGGCCTAAGCTAGGAGTCAGGAGCTTCTTCCGGGTCTCCCACGTGGGTTTGGGGGCGCAAACACTTGGGTCATCTTCCACCGCTTTCCCAGGTGCATTAGGAGGGAGCTGGATCAGAAGTGGAGCAGCCGGGACTTGAACCAGCGCCCATATGGGATTCCAGCATCACAGGCAAAGGCTTTACCTGCTATGCCACAACTCAGAGTTTTATAATTTTCACCAAGTCTTTTATCATTCATAGTTCTGATTCTTCTCTGAAAATATTTGCAACCAGATTCATGGAGAAGACTCCAACAAATAGTCTTTTTTGAAAATTTATTTATATATTTATTTATTTGACAGAGAGACAGAGAGAGATAGAGAGATGTCTTCCATCTACTGGTTTACTCTCCAAATAGCTGCAATGGCTGGGGTTGGTCCAGGCTGATGTCAGAAGCCCAGAACTCCATCTAGGTCCCCCCTGTGGGCAGCAGGGGTCCAAGCACTTCAGACAATCTCCACTGCCTTCCCAGGCGCATTAGCAGGGAGCTGGATTGGAAGCAGAGCAGCTGGGACTCAAACCTGTGCTCCCCCGTGGGATGCTGCCATTTCAAGTACCAGCTTAATCCACTACACTATGATGCTGGTCCCTCCAACCAATATTCTTGAAAACAGGTTTCTGAATGCTTTGAGATCAGTAGACTAGATAAGAATGTTCAGGACTGAAAAAAAAAAAAAAAAAAAAAAAACTGGAAAGTCCATAAAACTGCTAGTGGAGATCAAACAAGAGTTAGGTATAGGAAGATGAATGAATTACTGAAATTTGTGGATTTGTATGTCCTCTATTTAAATATTGATGGGAGCTGGCATTGTG